TACTCCATCTAAGGTATTTTGTATTTTATTGTAGTAGCCCTAACAGACTGAGACAGCATTATTCTTCTGTTATTTTAAACCTGAAACCAAAATATAATAAATACATAAAAACTTGCCAGCTGAAACTTAAACCCTAATTTAAATGTCTAAATTGTGAAGATAGCCTACTCTAAAGGAAAACGTTCACACCAGGAAGGATTGATTTGACTATTAATTCTGGGTTAGATGTTCTGTGGTGAGATAATGGCAGTTTATCCAAACAAGTCAAACCTGTATGGTTAACTAACTCCCTATTGCTGTTCTTCTATTGCCCTAGATGTCTGAAACCAGCCACTCTATTCCCAAACCATCATTCCTGGGCAGCTGGAGAAGAGGGATCAGGTTGCCCCCTGTGTATATTCACTTCCATGGAGTATTCAAGGCCAGCTGTTTGAACTGGGACAGGACAGACTCAAAAAGGTTGTAGTAAACTTGATGAGCAATGCTGTTGTCCCAGAACGTACAGCAGGTTGTCCACTGACATGGAGTCTGAGGCACCCTGCCACAGGGTCAGCCTGTACTCCTCAGACTGGCCTAGCAGCCAGTTGAAGTGGGGCCAGACAACCCACACCATGACATCCCACACAAGGAAGCTGATCCTCTGCTGCAGTGCCCCTACCAGCTCCTCCATCCTCTCCACCATGTCTCAGCTGTACATCCTGTTCAGGAACAGGGGAATATAGAGGATGGTCCAGCCTGGAGACAGGGTGGCCTCAGTATACTTCTCCTGGCCCCTGGCTAGGAACTGTGTGGCATTGACCTCAACTAAGGTTGGCACATTTGGCCCCTTTAGGATGTCAGCATTGATCCACAGGGGCCTTCAGACTCTCCCTTCCTCTGTTAGCTGCCACAGAAGCTCCAGGGAAGGGCCCATGACCTTGAGGATATTAAAATCCAATTTGATTCCAGGAAAGGATAGCACAATGTCCACTGCAACAGCATGTGGTCACTGCAAACAGCAGGAGAGTGTGCCATAGCAGGGACCTTTGTTTTGGTGGCTGTGTTGAGCCCTTCTGCAGTGGTATCAGCCTTCAGGACCATGGCATCACTGTTCAGGATAGCCCCCAGCTCTTCCCGGCTGTTGGCCGTGGGGTTCCAGGTGTTCTGTAGGCCATCTCAGTGACTGATCTGGCCCCAGCTCAGCAGATAGTCCAGCATGTCTGTGTGGGGGCAGCAGGCATCCTGCTCACAGCCTGACTATAGCAGGGTGAAGATCAGGACCATCCTGCAGTGAACACCAGAGCCACAGTGACAATGGCAGCAATTACCTACTTGGCCTGGCTGCTCCAGCACAGCTGCCATGGTGGTCTTGTGGCTGGGGTGAGGTGGGAGGTGGGAGCCCCCAGCAGCACTTACTTTTCCCGCAGACCCTACCAGCTCTGCCAAATTCACTATTTTTAAAGTATGCAATTCAGGCCAGGCATAGGAGGCTGAGGAGGGCCGATTGCTAGAGCTCAGGATTTCCACACAAGCCTGAGCAAGGGCAAGGCCCCATCTCTACTAAAAATAGTAAAACTAGTTGGGCGTTGTAGCAGATGACCATAGTCCCAGCTACTCAGGAGGCTGAGGCAAGAGGATTGCTGAAATTCAAGTTCGAGGTTGTTATAAGCTATGATGATGCCACGGTGTTCTACCCAGGGTAATAGAAGGAGACTGTCTCAAAAAAATAAATAAATAATTACACAATTCAGTGTTTTTTTTTTTTATTTTTTTAATTCAGTGGTTTGTAACATATTCATGAAGTTGGGCAATCACCACCATCTATTTCCAGAACATTTCATTACCCCCCAGAGAAAGCTTATACCCATTAGAAGTCACAACCCAGTCTGCATTTCCCTCTTTTTGGCAACCGCTAATCTACTTTAGGTCTCTATAGATTTGCCTATTCTGGACACTTAGCTTAATGGAATCATACCACACATGACCTTATGTGCCCGGTTTCCTTCACTTACCATATTTTCAGCGTCTAATATTGTAACATGTATCAGTAATCCATTCTTTTTTATGGGTGAATAATATTACATTGTATGGATATGCCCCATTTTGTTTATCAGTTATGTTGATGGGCACGTGGGTTGTTTCCAGTTCGGGGCCTGGATGGATAATTCTGTGAACATTCATGAACATGTATAAGTTTTTGTATGAACATATGTTTTCAGTTCTTTTGGGTATACCGAGGAAAAGAACTGCTAGGTCATACAGTAAGTCTATGTTGAAATTTTTTTTTTTTCAGTTTCTGGCCAGGGCTGAGTTTGAACCCGTCACCTCCAGCATATGGGGCCAGCACCCTACTCCTTTAGGCTACAGGCACCACCGAAATTTTTTTTTTTTTTTGAGACAGAGCCTGGCTGTTGTTGTTGTTGTTGCAGTTGTTATTGTTATTTAGCTGGCCCAGGCCAGGTTCGAACTCTCCAGCGTTGGTGTATATGGTTGGCGCCCTACCCACTGAGCCACCACAGGGTTCTAATTTCTTCACGTCCTCACCATCATGCTGTTCTTTTCTTTTTTCTTAAGTTCTAGCCATCCCGGTGGATGTTAAAGGTATCTTGTGATTCTGATTTGCATTTCTTTAATGACTAATGATGTCAAACATCATTTCATGCGCTTATTGGCCATTTATGATGGAGTGCCACAGCCCGAGGCTGGCTATGAATACTTATATAAGAGTTGTCTTAAGTCACAGATTAAATACACAAACATTAACGAAAGTTGATGAGCAAACAAAAAGGGTCCATGCATAATTTTCATAATACCTGCCACCACAGATAAGCATTGGTAGCTAGCTGTGGGCTGAGGTTGGATGCCCCTTCATTTAAAAATTTAGGTTATTGGCTGGGTGCAGTGGCTCACACCTGTAATCCTTGTGCTCTGGGAGGCTGAGGCAGGTGGGTTGCTTGAGCTCAGGAGTTGGAGACCAGCCTGGGCAAGAGTGAGATCCCATCTCTGCTAAAAATAAAAAAACTAGCCCAGCATAGTGGCGCTCACCTGTACCTCAGCTCCTTGAAAGGCTGAGGCAAGAGGATCACTAGAGCCCCAGAGTTTGAGGTTGCTGTGAATTATGATTTTGCCATGGCATTCTACCCAGGGCAAAAGAGGGAGACTCTCCTCAAAAAAACAATAAAATAATAAAAAAAAATTGGGTTGTCTTTTTATTGTTGAGTTATAACATTTCTTTTTTTGGAGACAGAGTGTCACTTTGTCACCCTCAGTAGAGTGCCATGGCATCATAGCTCACAGAAACCTCAAAATCTTGGGCTCAAATGATCCTCTTGCCTCAGCCTCCTGAGTAGCTGGGACTACAATGCCGGGCTAGTTTTTTTGGTTTTTTTTTTGGGGGGGGGCACTTTTTGGCCAGAGCTGGGTTTGAACCCGCCACCTCCGGCATATGGGGCCAGTGCCTTATTCCTTTGAGCCACAGGCGCCTCCCATGCCCAGCTAGTTTTTTAGAGATGGGGTCTCACTGTTGCTCAGGCTGGTCTCAAACTCATGAGCTCAAGCAATCCACCTGCTTTGACCTTCCAGAGTGCTAGGATTACAGGCATGAGCCACCCCACCCAGCCTGAGCTATAAGAGTTCTGTTTTTGGCTTGGCACCTGTAGCTCAGCAGCTCGGGCGCGAGCCACATACACCAAAGATGGTGGGTTCAAATGCAACCTGAGCTTGCCAAACAGAAATGACAATTACAACAAAAAATAGCTGGACATTGTGTTGGGCACCTGTAGTCCCAGCTACTTGGGGGGCTAGGGCAAGAGAATCACTTAAGCCCAAGAGTTTGAAGTTGCTGTGAGCTGTGACACCAAGGCACTCTACCAAGGGTGACATAGTGAGACTCTGTCTCAAAAAAAAAAAAAAAAAAGAATTCTATCTGTGTTTTAGGTAAAAATCCCTTATCAGATGTATGATTTGCAAATATTTTCTCCCCTTCTGTGCATTCTATTTATTTATTTATTCATTCATTCATTTATTTATTGGGACAGGGTCTTGCTTTGTAACCCAGGCTGGAGTGTAGTGGCACAATCATAGCTCAATGCACCCTCAAACTCCTGGGCTAGTGTAATCCTCCACCTCGGCCTCCCAAAGTGCTGGGACTATAGGAATGAGCCACCATTTTCAGCCTGGATTTTATTTTTAGGAACCAAAATTAGTTACTAAATTCAGTAACTTGCTCTTTTTCTCTAATAGTGTATCGTGAACATTTTTCAATGTCAAGAGAAGGCTTCCTCATTTTTCCCCTCTTATTCCTCCTCCCCGCCATTCTTTTTCATGGCTGCATAGAATTCCATTACAGTTTTACCACAGTTCATGTGAATAGTCCTCTACTGAGCTTTAAAGAGTCTTTAGTTGGTGTGTTAGTGAGAGACTGATGCAGTGCTCTTGAGCAGAAGCTGTCATCTCATCACCATGCTATCTGCTCTTGGATGATGTGAAAATACAAGTAGGCACAGGAAATGTCTCTAACCTGCTTACACTTCCTCTCTGAACCCATGTGGTTTCACAACCCCTATAGGCACATACCCCCAGTGTCATCAGCGTAGTGCTTCTGTGAGAAAGTTCCACTGCAAGAGGCCCAGAGGCATAATCATTTCCCTCTTTGACCCTGTCTAGATTGCCGGCAGATTCCAGGGGCCCTCTGAGGCTGAGCCTTGGTCCTCAGGTCCCTCCAGCACAAGAAAGATGAATTTCTGCATGGTCCTGAAGGCAGTGCTACTGTCTGGGCCCTTTCTCTTTGGTAAGCAAGGGAGGTGGCAGGGGAAGGCACACATGTCTGTGACCAGGGAATTGTGGGGCTCTGTAGAGCTGGAGTAGACGAGGAGCTACTGTAAGGGTGGGATTTGCCGTAGGTATTATGGAATCCTGGAGGGAGAAGGGGAAGAGAAAAAGAAAGAAAACTAGAGCTCAAAGTGTAGGCACGTGGGGGAGGACAAGACAGAGAAGGGAGACAAAGGTAGCATTTTTTTTTTTTGAGACAAAGTCTCACTGTGTCGCCCTAGAGTTGACAGGCACAGCAGGCACAGCAAACTCTTGGGTTCAAGCGATTCTCATGCTTTAGCTTCCCAGGTAGCTGGGACTACAAGCACCTGCCACAATGTCTGGATAGTTTTTCTATTTTTAGTAGAGATGGGTCTCACTCCTGCTCAGGCTAGTCTGAAACTCCTGAGCTCAAGGGATCCACTCTCAGCCTCCTAGAGTGCTAGGACTATAGGTGTGAGCCACCGTGCCTGGGCTGACATAAAGAGGGCGAGTGGGTTCTTGAAAAAAAGCAGATGACTAATGGGCATCTAGTGCTGGGTGGAGAATGCTGGGTCTGGTGCTACCCTTAAGGCCACCTGTCTAGGCCACCTTAGGCAAGTCTTTTCCCCTTCTCTGCCTCAGTCCCTTCATCTGGACAAGTGAAGGCATAGGCATCTCTGACATCCAAGGACACTGTCAACTCATCCTGATGCCCTGGTGGAAAGCAGGGCAGGGAGGAGAGTTTGGGCTGTGCTCTAGGCAGGCTTCCTGAGGTGGGGGTTCAGATCTAATGGCTCGGGGAGTGGGGTGGGTGGTGCAGGTTGCCTCATAGGATCCGGGGATTTAAAAGCCCTGAGTCTGGGAAGAAGGCTGAGGCCCAGCATTTGAATTCTGGGGACCCAGGCTCCATGACCCCAGGAGAAGCTGGTGTGTGGGCAGGCCCATCTTGCCTCGGGACATCCCCATCCCAGCCTCTGCCTGGGAACTTGGCCACCCTATGCCTCTGGGGCACCTTTGGCCTCCTCCTCTCTCACTCCTCCACCTTCTCATCCTTCCTTCTTTGTCTAGTGGCCAAATTGGAAGTGTGTCCTTCTCAGGCCCTGTGAAAAGCTCTCAGCATTCTGGGAGGCACAAAGAGGCTGCTTCCATGGGCCCCAGAGTCAAGGCCCTGGAGGGGAAGTCCAGGGGACATGGGTGCACTGCAGAGGGGTGGGGCCGGGGCCAGGGCCAGCCCGCCTGCCAGGCACGTGCTGGTCCAGCAGACCAGCTGACCGCACTCAACTCCCTCAGCCCCCGCCTTGAGCTACAACCTGGATGTTAAGCATGTGCAGAGCTTCTCCTTTCCCCAAGCTGGAAGGCACTTCGGGTACCGCGTCCTGCAAGTTGGAAACAGGTGAGCTGCTGCCCCCAATACCCATCCCATCCCCAAGTTTCCCTCCTGGTGGCCCCATCCTGAGGTGGATGGCTAGTAAGCTAGGGCATGTCACCAGGACATCCCTCCCTGAAGGAGTCTGTCCATGGGAATTCTTAGCAGCCAGGCACAGGCCATCACATAGTAGAATGAAGGTGACGTTTAAGGTACCAAGCAAGTACCTATAGTGGAAACATCACAGCTCCTGGCACACTTGGCATGAATTCCTAGGTTCCTGACTCCCTTACTACACAGTGAGCTCTTTCAAGCAAGGACTTTGCTTATAATCTCTTCCCATTCCCTGGCACTCCTAGTATATCCCCCAGCCTAGTGCTAAGTAAACCATAAATAGCTTTGAATGGAGGACTTACTGAGCTTATAATGGGACATTCTGGTGGATTATTCTCTACACCTCCAGTGTTTCTAGACTGTAAATGTTTATTTTATTTATTTATTTATTTACTTTTTGAGACTGAATCTCACTCTGTTGCCTGCACTAGAGTGTTGTGGCATCCACCTAGCTCACAGCAAACTCAAACTCCTAGGCTCAAGTAATCCTCCTGTCTCAGCCTACAGGTGCTCGCCACAATGCCTGGCTCATTTTTCTAGACTATAAATGGAAAGTCTCCTCAACTTTCTAGAATTCTGGCATATGGAATTATTTCTCTGGGATTCTATAGGGAAGAGGTGAGGGCTTGGGAGCTCCCCAGAAGGGAAATGGCTGTATTGTTTTGAGATTCTTGGTGGGAGATCCGAACCTCCTTAACAGGCAGCAGTGGGTGGGTGAAGACCTGGGCAATTCCATCTCACAGGTGAGATTTCTCAACAGGGTTGTCGTGGGAGCTCCAGGTGAGGGGAACAGCACAGGGAACCTCTATCAGTGCCATCCAAGCACTGGAAACTGCCTACCAGTCAGCCTGAGTGGTGAGTAACTGGTAAGGGAAATGGGAAGAATGGGGTCTCAGGGAAATCAAGGCAGGCCCCAACAAGCCTGGATTGCCTAAGTCTCTCTAAATCAAACATTTGGTGCCTACAGGTTCCAACCATACGTCCAAGTACTTGGGAATGACCTTGGCAACAGATCCAACAGGTGCAAATATTTTGGTAAGAATTTTGTGGAATTAGTGTCTATAAATCTCAATGCTAGGAGCAAGAGATTGAAAAGCGGAAAAAAATACAGATAAAGGATCCCATAACAGGAGTGCTCAAACTTTTTAAACAGAGTTCACTGTCCCTCAGACCATTGGAGGGCTGGATTGCGGGCCCAGGACGAGTCGGCTGCTAAGCAGGACAGGCAGCAGTGGCAAAAACACCAGGCAGGCTAGATAAACGTCCTAGGTGGGCTGCATGTGGCCCACAGGCCATAGTTTGAGGACGCCTACCATAGAAGGTCAAAAGCATCAGAGAGATTCAGATTCAATCAGTGTTTGGTTTTTTCCAAATATGAAACATCTATGACCATTGATAAACAATACAATTTTGGGTGTTATACAAACTTCTAATGTTTTAATAGTTATATATTTATTTATTGGCTTATTAGAAAAAATATACAATAAGCACATCAAATTCATTATTTCTTGGACCATACTGCTTGGAAAGAGGCTAAAGTTAAGAAAAGATAAATTTGGCTCGGTGCCTGTGGCTCAAGTGGCTACATACACCTAAGGTGGCAGGTTCCAATCCAGCCCCGGCCCGCCAAACAACAATGACAGCTGCAACCAAAAAATAGCCAGGCATTGTGGCAGGTGCCTGTGGTCCCAGCTACTTGGGAGGCTGAGGCAGGAGACTCAATTGAGCCCAGGAGTTGGAGGTTGCTGTGAGCTGTGATGCCATGGCACTCTACCCAGGGGGACAGCTTGAGGCTCTGTCTCAAAAAAAAGAAAAGATAAATATAAAGGACAATATTAAGTAAATAATAGTATGCTCATCTGGCAGAAATTGTGAAGTATTACACAAATGTCTAAAGTTTGGGAAACACTACCTTAAATCTTTTACCCCTCAAGATTTGACCAAGCTTCCATGACTGCAAAGTGGTAGAGCCAGGATTTGAATTAAATTCCCATTTCATTCCCAGTTCATTGCTCTTTCCAGTTTATCCCAGCCAACATCCCTCTGTGTGAGAGACAGAAGACTGAGTGAAATGTTGATCCAGTATTTAAAAGAGCTTGTTTATTTAGCTAAATTACCTGCCGGACATTGTGCTAGATTCTTTCTTTCTTTATTTATTTATTTATGGAGACAGAGTCTTACTCTGTCACCCTGGGTAGAGTGTTGTGGCATCATTGTAGCTCATAGCAGCTTCAAATTCTTGGGCTGGAGTGATCTTCCTACCTTAGCCTCCCCAGTAGCTGGGGCTACACGCACCAGCCACAATGCCTGGCTAGTTTTTTTATTTTTGGTAGAAATGAGGTCTTGCTTTTGCTCAGGCTGCTCTTGAACTCCTGAGCTGAAGCAATCCTCCTGCCCTGGCCTCCCAGAGTGCTAGGATTACAGTTGTGAACCGCTGTATAATGAGAGAGGGGGAGGGAGAGAAAGAGACGAAGAGGACCATGACGTGAACCTTGACTTTCAAAGTTGCAGTCTGGAAGGAAAGATAGTAATACATGAAAAAAACAGCATTGTATATTCTGGGAATTCTGAGTATTTGATTTAGTTTAAACACAGAATGTAAGATTGGAAATGGGATAAAATAGGCCTGGAAATGCTGGCTAGTGCCCAACTGTAAAGAATATGAATGTGAGCCAGGTGAGGTGACTCATGCCTGTAATCCCAGCACTCTGGGAGGCCGACACAGATGGATTGCTTGAGCTCATGAGTTCGAGACCAGCCTGCTAAAGCAAGACCTGTCTCTACTAAAAATAGAAAAACTGAGGCAAGAGGATCACTTGAGCCCAAGAGTTGGAGAGTGCCATGGCATCTATGAGCTATGAGGTCTAGCCACCGCCATGCCCACGGGTTCTGCACATGCCACAGCACTCTACCCAGGGCAACAGTTTGAGACTCGGTCTCCAAAAAAATAATAAATAAATAAAATAAAATAAATATATATGAATGTCAAACTAAAGAGTTTGGACTCTGTCCTGTAGACAACAAGTGTCCATTGGCACAGAGCATTGGTGGGAATGGAGAAACGGGTATGGGAAACCTTGTGGAGGCAGAATCACCTTGCCTTGGTAGCCAGTTGGGAGAGAGCAAGGGAGTGAGCAAGGATTCTGGCAGTTCTTTTTCTTGCCTGATGTTGCTCCAAAAGGTGTACAGGAATGCCTTTGCTTCCTTTAGGCCTGCGATCCTGGGTTGTCTCGGACATGTGACCAGAACACCTACCTGAGTGGCCTGTGTTACCTTTTCCACCAGAATCTGCAGGGTCCTGTGCTGCAAGGGCACCCTGGTTATCAGGGTAAGGAACTGGGGACATAATGGGCAAAAATACCTCCAAGTGATTGCCCCTACAGGGGGACCAGCATGGGCAGGCCAAACATAGAAGCTACTTCACCAGGTCCCTTTGCATCTGGCCTCTGCAGAATGTATAAAGGGCAAGGTAGACCTGGTATTTCTATTCGATGGCTCAAACAGTTTGCGGCAAGATGAATTTCAGAAAATTCTGGACTTCATGAAGGATGTGATGAGGAAACTCAGCAACACTTCCTACCAGGTAAATATGTTAGGATTCTTGATTACAGGCAATAGGTGCACAATTACCTAAACTGGCTTGAACCCTAAAAGGAAAATTTAGTACGTGGCATCTCCCAGAACCCATGGGTATGGTGGCAGCTAGACCTCTGAGAGTCACAAGAGCCAGACAATAGACCAGGCAAGGTGGCTCATGCCTATCATCCCAGCATTCTGGGAGGCTGAGGCAGTGAATTGCTTGAGCCCCCAGGTTTGAAACCAGCCTGAACAAGAGTGAGACCCTGTCTCTACTAAAAATACAAAAAAAGGCTTGCGCCCATAGCATAGTGGTTACAGTGCCAGCCACATGCACCAAGGGTGGCAGGTTCAAACCAAGCCCAGGCCAGTTAAATAACAATGACAACAAGAAAATAGCCAGGTGCTTGTAGTCCCAGCTACTTGGGAGGCTGAGGCAAGAGAATCGCTTAAGCTTAAGAGTTTGAGGTTGCTGTGAGTTGTGACGCCACAGCACTCTACTGAGGGCAACATAGTGAGATTCTGTCTCAAAAATAAATAAATAGAATAAAATAAAAATAAAAATACAAAAACTGAGGCAAGGGCACTACTTGAGCCCAAGAGTTGGAGGTTGCTGTGAGCTATGATGATGCCATGGCACTCTACCTAGGGTGACATCTTGAGACTTTGTCTCAAAAATAAGACTCAGTGCCCATAGCTCAGTGGTTAGGGCGCTGGCCACATACACCACGATTGGTGGGTTTGAACCTGGCCCAGGCCAGCTAAGCAAAAATGACAACTGCAACAAAAAAATAGCGGGGCGGCGGCTTTGTGGCAGGTGCCTATAGTCCTGGCTGCTTAGGAGGCTGAGGCAAGAGAATTGCTTAAGCACAAGAGTTTGAGGTTGCTGTGAGCTTTGATGCCATAGCACTCTACCCAGGGTGACATGGTAAAACTCTGTCTCAAAAAAAAATAAATAAATAAATAAAAATTAAATAAATTAATTAATTAAATAAGAGTCAGACAGTAGAAAGTGGCTAGGATTCTCTCTTGTTTTATGCCTTTGTTTCCTTCTTTCCTTGCTTTCTCTATAGACGGGCTCCCTTTATAGGGGGCCTGTGGAAAGCTCCTAAATTCATGTGTTAAAGTCCTAGGAGGTGGCTCAGCACCTGTAGCTCAACCGGCTAAGGCACCAGCCACGTACACCTAAGGTGGCGGGTTCGAATCCCCAGCCCAGACCCGCCAAACAACAATGACGGCTGCAACCAAAAAATAGCCGGGCATTGTGGCGGGCGCCTGTGGTCCCAGCTACTTGGGAGGCGAAGGCAGGAGACTTGCTTGAGCCCAGGAGTTGGAGGTTGCTGTGAGCTGTGATGCCACGGCACTCTGCCCAGGGGGACAGCTTGAGGGCCTGGCTCAAAAAAAAAAAAAAAGTCCTAGGAGGGTTTTTTACCTTCCTCTCAACCAACCCCCTCCTTCTGCAAATTCCAAATTCTCAGAAAAAGAGATTCTGATTGGTCTACCCTCAGTTGGATGGCCATTGGTGGCCCAGTTAACTGGATCCAGTGTAGCACGGTCACTCAGCAGAAATACAGCTGCTAGGAGCCACGCATGTGGGCGAGACAGGCAGACTCAGTGAATAGGAGCTCAGCAAACATCACTACATGAAGAAACAAAAGGTTGGTTTGTTTATTTATTTATTTATTTTTCTTCTTTGAGACAGAGTCTCAAGCTATCGCTCTGGGTAGAGTGCCGTGGCATCATTGCTCACAGCAACCTTCAACCCTTGTCCTTAAGTGATCCTTTTTGCCTCATTTTTTTCTATTTTTAGTAGAGATGGGGGTCTCACTTTTGCTCAGGCCGGTCTCAAACTCATGAGCTCAAGCAATCTACACGCCTTGGTCTCCCAGAGTGCTAGGATTACAGGTGTGAGGCACCACTCCTGGTCCAGAGGTTTATTTAAACATTTCTGTGTTTGTTTATATATTGCCTCATTTTCAAAAGAATGATTTGAAGCAGGGATGTGGAATTGGGCCCCACATAAGAAGTAGAGATTGGAAGAGACAAGCTGGAAGGGATGTGTTATTACATATCATTTCTTCCTTCCTTTTCTAGTTTGCTGCTGTTCAGTTTTCCACGAACTGCCGAATAGAATTTAATTTCTCATATTATGATAGAGTGAAGGACCCAGATGTTCTGCTAGCCAAAGTAGAACACATGCGTGACCTGACCAACACCTTTCGTGCCATCAACTATGTTGCGTGAGTTCCACTTTGCAGGAGAGAACATATCCATTCATTTGTTCTGTAAGCTAACTTCTTTCAGTTGCTAGGTATAGGAACTCAGTAGGTAGGTACAGCAAGGGGTGGTTTATTGTTTGAATTTAAGTGAAGCAATTTTAGCTCAGGTTCTTTTGGTTGTAAGTAACAGAAATCTACTCTATACTAACTAAATCTCAAAGGGAAATTATTGCAAGGAAAGCTCAATGAACCCTTGGACAGGAGGTATTGACAGGTCTTATGAAAACTAGAACCAGGGCTCGGCGCCTATAGCTCAACTGGCTAAGGCGCCAGCCACGTACACCTAAGGTGGCGGGTTCGAATCCCCAGCCCGGACCC